TAATGTCACATTTGCATCAAGTAAGTTTGGAATCTCACAGTAAAAAGAAATATATTCTAGGCTCCAAAATTGTTCTGTAGTATTGTGACCCATCCCTGCTATTCTGTGCATTCTGTGTAAGGAAATAGCTGCCATATATTTCCATTGGGCCTTTAGTGGGAAGATACTGTGGAGAGGATATAGTGTGGCATACTCTAGAGTCACCCAGGGGTCTGTCTGTAAGTTAGGTTGTTACCATGTTAACTGAGGGGGAATTATGAAAAACATGTGAGCCAGTGCTAAATATTCTCACTTTAACAAATCTTTATTACTTGATGTCTAGTAAGAAAATCATGCTTTAAAGGGGGCTTATATTTACCTGCTAGTTGCTTGTCCCAAGGAGCAACTTGTAGATACAAGATAGTGACATGATCTCAGAGGTGTTGGCATCAGCAGGTGTGCTGGAAACAGAATGAGTTTGTGTGACTTAAAACTATAAGTCCCTGAACTTCAGACATGTTCTTCTTTCATGAACAATTTCTGGAGTCTTCTTTTTAATGAATTTTGATGAGCTAATGGCTAACCATAATAAGGTGAGAACTTCACTTTATGTATGGCAAAGTTGAAGGTATTTTCAGCTGCTCATGGTCTTTGAAACCTATGAGAATGTTAAATGTGCCTACATATACCTTTCTTCATGTAAGTCCTTTTATGTCTAACAGATTCCTTCTCTGCTGAAACTAAAGCATCTCCCCAGTGTCATCTTTGCTGGGGTGGACAGCCCTGAAGACATTCTGAATGATACCTACCAAGAACTCTTTCGCTCAGGCGGCTTTGTGGTATCAGATGATAACATACTAGAAAGTTTAACATTAGGTTGGTCTTTAACTTTGAAATCTAGTCAGATCAATTTCTCCCTACCCAGTGACACAAACAGTTTCATCAAAAAGAAATCAGTTACCATATATTGAGGGCTTACTTTGTGCCAGTTGCTGTACTAAATGCTTTTACTGTAATCATTTTTAACACTTGGCAAGTAAGCAACATTTTAGGGTTTTGTTTTCTTGAGAATCAGTTCTGTTTCTGATGGCAAAAGACCTAATATCCTTCATCCTTCTTAACAAAAATCTTCTTGAAAAAATGGCTTCCAAAAGTCATCTTGGTTAATACCTTTAACACTCTAATGTAGAATTTACTTTTGATATCAGGCTTTTGTGTGTGTGTTACAGTATAATCTAAACCTGCCTTAACTCTGATCACATTAGATCAATCTGAACATCATTTCTGAATTGGTGTACCTTCATCAGCATAAATTCTTCATTGAAACTAGTTTAATAAAAATATTTATGTAACTTTTCTACTGCACGGAGCTCCTGCTTCTGTTCTGTCATGTGGCAGATTCAGAACTTGAGCTGCAGGTGACCATCATGCTTTTGCACCTACAGAATTTCCCATTATAGTATGACTAGGTAGAAGTGGTTTGAGGAGTCACAGGTTATACGTGTATGAGACTGGACATTGGCCAGACATGGAAGAGGTGGAGACATTGGGTCTATTCATTCATAAATTACAACTAATAGACTTTGCACTAACAACAAAAACTAAGACACATCTCTTTGCTGAACTTAATCTGCAGTTCAACTGAAGGAAATTGTCACAATCCTGGAAAAACTAAATGAAAATGGAAGATGGAAGTGGCTGCTTCACTACAGAGAAAATAAAAAACTCAAGGAAGATGTCAGGTAGGTACATGTGGAGAAAGGTGCCAACACTCTAGTCCCAGTTTCCCATGTGCTTTAGACTAGTTGTAGCTCAAGCGCCACAGGCAGAATAGTGTCAGAATAGATATCACCTTCATAAGATTTAGGTCTGCTGGTTAGCTTTGGGTTTTTTTGTTTTTGTTTTTTTTTTTAATAGTAGGGCATTCGGTGAAAGATGTATTTACAGCAACATTTTGAGCCAGGCTTAAAAACATCCACAGTTAAGTCAGGCTCTGCTGCCATATGCAGAAATATGGTAAAGTGTGAGCTTCCCTTTTTTGATACTCATATTTTGAGTTGCCAGGGTATTGGATTTAAATAGCAGACAAGTCACCTTAAATCTAAAGCAGTGATTGTTTTAATTCATTAATTTTTTTGCAGCCCAGTCAGTTTCCCTTCCCTCCTCTCCTCCCATTTCCTCCCCTCTCAACATTCTCCCCCTCCTTTTTCTTCAGAAAAGTGCAGGCCTCCCATGTATATCAACCAGCCATGCATATTAAGTTAAAGCAGTGATTCGTGTATGTGGAATATGTATGTATTTATGCAGTTTGCACACTTGTGTGGAGGAGCCTGGCAATCTATGTCAAGTGTCTTCTATCACTGTCCACCTTATTTTTTTTTTTTTAAGATTTTATTTATTTATTATGTGTACAATATCTGCACACCAGAAGAGGGCACCAGATCTCATAACGGATGGTTGAGAGCCACCATGTGATTGCTGGGAATTGAACTCAGGACCCTTGGAAGAGCAGTTGGTGCTCTTAACCTCTGAGCCATCTCTCCAGCCCCCCAGCTTATTTTTTAAGAGAAGGTCTCACTGAATCTGGAACTCATCAATTGGACTAGGCCAGTTGGTTGGCCAGTGAGCTTGTCCTCATCCCCAGTGCTGGCCTTACAGATGTGTGCCACCACACCTGGCTTTTTATATAGATGCTGGGGGTCTAAACTAAAGTCCTCATGCTTACCCAGCAGGTACTTTACTGACTGTACCACGTCCACAGCAGTGGAATTTTTTGTTGTTGTTGCTTGCTCATTTATTTATTTATTTACTTATTTATTTATTTATTTATTTATTTATTTATTTTTGGGTTTTTCAAGACAGGGTTTCTCTGTGTTGCTTTGGAAGTTGTCCTGGAACTCGCTCTGTAGACCAGGCTATTCTCGAACTTACAGAGATCCGCCTGCCTCTGCCTCCTGAGTGCTGGAATTAAAGGCGTGCACCACCACTGCCCAGCTTGACCAAGTGTTTTAACAACAAATTAAAATGAAAGTCAAGAGAGCTAGAGAGATGGCTTGGTACTTAAGAGATGACCCAAGTTCAGTTCCCAGCACCTATATTAGGTGGCTTACAATTGCCTCTATAGATCCAGGGGATCAGACACCCTCTTCTGGACTCTTAGGGCACCTGCACTAACATGCACTTTCTTTCACATAGATAATTTAAAATCTTTCTTTTTAATGAAAGCAAGAAAAGCTACTAACATTTCTTTCTATTTTCCAGGGTAGATTCAATTGCACATAAAAAGAACTTAATTCTGAAATCATATCAGAGTGTAAATATCATTGAATTGCTTCATTATCACAACTGTGACTCTCCATCACCAACAAAAGCTGAAAATTTGAAATGCTTGCTAAACCTGCAAGTTCAACATATCAGTGCCAGGTTTGCTGTCTTCCTAACAGGTAAATTTAATCTTCATTAATGCTAAAATAGGACAGCTCTAGAAATACCGTTCTTAAGTAGTTACTGAATTCCTTAGATATATGTGGCTTTTATCCATAGCTGGTAGGTAGTGCAGCATGTGTTTTGACAGTCCTGAGGATGCTTGCCAAGGAGTAATGAGTTTCTCTAGTTAATAGTCTTCTAATTAATATTACCAGATCCTACAAGTACATTTTTCTACTTTTCCCAAATTTTCTGTGAGCCTTAGCTGGGCTGCCTGGTTACTGAAGCTAGTACTGTTGTCCATTACTGTCCCTTCCCTCCCTCATGCTGCTTCCATGTGTCTTAGTTTTTCTTCTCATTCTAATGAATTCTGCTACCTTGGAAAAAAAAAAAAAAATGGGAAATGCTAGCTAACTGACAAGTTTGTTTTTTTTTCTTTTTTCTTCATAGACAAGCCTACAGTATCCACAGAAGTCTTTGAAAATAATGGAATTCTTGTTACAAATGTAAACTACTTCACTGAAAATATACAAAAGATAGCAGCTCCATTTAGGAGTAGCTATTGGTAAGAACATTTTGTAAAACTCCCGTGTAAGCTGGAATTACTGGCAGCAGACACTACCACCGAGGGAAAGAAAACTGTTCAAAGACTACTCTTTAGATTCAAATGGAATACACTTTGGTTATATTTCTTGGTTATTTCTGTCTTAATTTTGTGTTCCTACAGGTAATTAAGCTACATTTGGAGTTGAAACTAGAAATGGAGGACACCAACAATATATTAGTATTTTCCTGTGTCTGAAAAACTTCAGATACACACAATCAATCCTTATCTAAAAAATCCATGTTTCATTTTCATACTTTGTTAGAATGTCATATTTCATCATGGACCATAGATGCCAATAGCTCTGGGTTCCAATGTTTATTTTACTTCTAAACATAATGCCTTCAAAACCATTAAGCTTACTATTAAAATTGAGACCGTCACATGTTTATGTAGCTGAAGTAAAAGTATTTTAACAAATAGCTGTTTCTGTGTGTGGTCAGAGGCTTATGAAGTGCATGTTTCGGGGTTTTACAGCATTGTAAAAAAGTATAATCTGTAGTGGTTTTGTTTGTTGTTGCATAAGAAACACTACAAAGAAACATTTTTCCGTAAATGACAAATTTATACACTTTTCCACTTACTAGGGTTTTTTTTTTTTATGCTGCACTACAAAAATCAACCTGGGGAAGAAATTATTTATGATAATTAGAACTTTCTTAAGTCTTTAAAAATACATACACTCAAAAAAACATTTGTATACTGTCTATTTGGAACAAAGGCTTTTATACCTAGTTTGGGGTTGGGTTTTTTTTTTTTAATAAAGACAATTAAAATGCAGTTGTTTGTGCTGTGATTCAGTCTGTGTGCAAAGCCACTCACCAGGATGCTTTTAATAAGAATCCCACTACAATGAGCCTTGTAACTATAGTAAAATGTATAAAGCCAGAAATGGCTCCCATCCAAATCTATTAGGTTAGCTCTCCTGAAGGCAGTACGGCAGTTGTGTTGTCTTCACAAGCAGAACATGGGCAGACAATATAGAGGACAGTGCTTTCCAGAGTTTGGCTTTATTTTGCAGTACAGAAATCATTTGGAGCCATTTTGAGACAGACATCATTGAAATCAAGGCTCTGTCAAATCAATACTGCATTGCAGCTTGGTCCATTGAATAAGCCATACGTGGGTTAAAAGGTGCTTCTATAATTTTACCTGCTTACCATATGGTTCCTTTCCCCTTCTCAGCAATTGTAATAGGTTAAAATACCAATACTGGCTTCCTCCAAACAACTCCCTAAGTCTAAAATTTGGCTAGAAGTTTACACCCACATAAACAAAATATGTGGCTGCTATTTGAGCCCTGCTTTAATACTTGACATAACAAAATAGAGAAAACTTTGAATGTTTTCCCAAACCAAAGGATTCAATTTAGAGTCCCAATATCAGGATGGCACAAATTGTATAGATCTAGCTCTTGAGCAGAGGCAACACAATCGCAAAGGCTACACTGATTAAAAGATACAAGTACTGTATCAAGTTCTCTATCGATATATTTGTTTAGAACAGCTCCTTCACTTAAAAAAAAAAAAAAAAGGCAGTCTGGTTAAACTAAACAGAAACAACCAATTCTGACTAGCCATTCCATGAAAACAAGTTAATACATGATATTAGAAAAGTGAAGGGAAGGAGTATTTACTGGTATAGCACTCTTCAATCTCCATTTTGATCATAAAAGCGGGCTTGCAATATTGATTTCATATAATATACATTATTTGCCAAATTTTAAGTTTGTCCTAATTACATAATATGTACTGCTGTTAGTCTTCTCCATAAATGTCATTCTTCTTGCGCTTCATTTCTTCAAAGTCAAACTCAGATCCTGTCATTCTCTTATAGATATCTTTAATGTCATCACAGGTTGTCTCAAAGTGAGTGGTTGCATCATAGGCACGGGAAATAAAGATCTGGAATTAAGAATTATAGAGACTTCAGTCTACTTAGAAATACTCCCCAACAATGACTAGTAACATTTTTCAGATCATCACACTCACCTGGCTCTCTGTTCCCAAATCTTTAGGTACAAAGAGGTCACTGATGCTGACAAATCTATATGGAGAGAAACAAATTAGCATCACTGCTTTGCCTTAATTTCTGAGCCAAAAGCAGAAGACTAACGGGGTGAGGCATTCTAAGGATTCACAGCAGCCAATGGCTAGCCTATCTTATTCTCAGAATTGCCCAACACCTCAGTTTCAGTTGACATGAATGAGCACAATACTCACTTCTGTTCAATTGGTTCCAAGAGCTCCAAAGCTGGTCTGATTTCCTTCTCTGGTTCCTTGGTCTCCACGGTTGTACTAACAATGGCAATATATTTGCCCTGTGCTGCCACATTGTGTGCAAAGGAGATCATGCAAACATAGATATCTGGAAGCAAATAACACCATACACCTGAAGTTTGTGCACTCAAATATGGTTTCACTTCATTACAAATTAAAATTACTTGAAACAGGCAATGCTGTCTAAACTTGTTATGTATGTAGATAAACTAAGTTACAAATATTTACTAACTGAAATTTCTCATAACCACATTATGGTTTGGATATAAAATATCACTCAAAATAGATTCATACACTGAAGAATTGGTTCTCTGCTGGTGGTGGCCTTAACAGATGAATGGATCAGGAAGAGTGCCAGTCTCATCAATCCACTGATGAATTCAGGGCTGAATGGGCTGTTAGGAAATAGGATCTAGCACAGTGATTCTCAGCCTTCTCATGCTATGACCCTTTAACACAGTTGCTCTTACTGTGGTGACCTCCAACCATAAATTTCACGATTATTATTTACTATGTTTTGGTTTGTTTTTGAGGGTTTTTGTTTTTGTTTTCTGAGACAGGGTTTTCTCTTTGTAACAGTCCTGACTATCCTGGAACTTGTTTTGTAGACTAGGCTGGCCTTGAACTCAGAGATCTGACTGCCTCTGCCTCCAGAGTGTTGGGATTAAACGTGTGCATATAAAATTATTTTCCCTGCTACTCCATAACTATAGTTTTACTAGTTATGAATCATAAATGTAAACATCTGATTTTCAGGATATCTGATTTGTGATCCCTGTGAAAGGGCTGATCAATCCCCAAAAGGATTGCAACCCACAGGTTGAGAACCATCCTAGCAGGAAGAAATAGGTCACTATGGACATTGTCTGGGAAGTGTATCATCTTATGCCCAAGACCCTTCTTGCTTGCTGTCTGCCTTCCTAGTTCCTATGAGGTAAGCAGAATACCCTGCCACATACTCCCATTGTCATAATACTCTGCCTTGCCCTCAAGTAGCTGACTACATTGAAAACATGAGCCAAAACTTATCTCTGACAGGGTGGTTTTCCCATGGAAAAACTCACTAAGACCTCAAGAGACTGAGGAGGATGTATGTGACTGAACTGCTAAACCTGGAGATGAATTCTGCCCCAGACCAAATTTTAGATTTGGCTAAGACCAAATATAAAAACTCTGAATAGCTGGATGTTAGTCTATATGGCCAGTTCAAAGCCAGACAGTGAGACTCTGTCTCAAAACTAACAAAAAATTTAAGGGATTTTCTGCTACTTTTGGAAAGGTTTTGAATACCTAAGAGGCTTTATTAAGTACCGATTTCCTCATTTACTATTGGAAAATTAATACAGATTTCTGTAACTAACCACTATTCTAAATATAGTTTCAAATGTAGAAATAATTTTTAGAATTTTTAAGTTTTTCACAGGTCTACAAATCTGCTTGGGAATCACTCAAAATGTGTCTATTGCAGCACAGTTATGGCACATACCTTTAATCCCAGCACTTGGGAGGCAGAGGCAGGCAGATCTCTGAGTTCAAGGCCAGCCTGGTCTACAGAGTGAGTTTCAGGTTGGCCAAGGCTCTACAGAGAAATCTTGTCTCAAAAAACCAAAACTGTGTCTATCTTTTTGTTACAGTGAAAATGTTCTGTGGTGTGGTTTCTTATTGGGGGGGGGGCACGACACGACACACAATACTGAAAACTGCTGAGTGAAATCGGAGATGTGGGGCTTCTAGCCAAAATACACAGTTGAAAATCACTGGTTAAATCAAAATTGGAATTGAAATTTTAGACCAAATCCTGACTTAAATCACAGAAATGAGCACTTTTTCTAGCACGTTGCTAAAACAATCATTAAAACCACAATGACACAATCAGTTTAAACACAGTGATGTCAGTTGAACTAATAAGTATGAAGCCTGCAAGTATTCATCCATGGAGTCATTCATTCTAGACATGAAGCTGAGGTCTGAGGCAATGAATACCAGGCTAACACCACTTCAGTGCACTGCTGCTAGTCTTTAGTATTGAGTAAAGCCAAGAATGTGGGTGGGAACACTAAGGAATCTCACATAATTCTACTCTTACTGGTTGCTCTCCAAAACTCACCTGACTTCCGGTTGACTTGGTTCTGTGGAATGATGATCTGGCAGGAATTGGCATCATTGGTGTTCTTGATAGGGTGGCTAAGGATACAGATCACTCTGATTACCTGGCCCACTTTTTCAACCCGATCTTTTACATAGCTGGGGTCGCAGATGAGCTGCTTACAGCGAGCAATCTATAACAAAACATTTAAAGGGACATTATACAGAAGACACAGGAACATCATTGTATATCCCACATTCATGTATTAGAAGGTTAAGCTCTCTAAGTCAATCTTAAATGTAATATTGAATCTTAAAAACTGCATTCATTAATAACTTAAACAACTGAGAACAGAATACAGATGGAGGACTCCACTAAAAACTACAGCACTCAATACAGAATGGTACCTGGTACTAGCACAGACAGACAGGCCAAAGGAACACAAAAGAAGCCAGAAATAAATTTTCACACTTTCAAGTGATTTTTGATAAAACCAATTATAGGATAAGGAAAATCTTAAACATTTGTGGAGCACAACTGTAATCTTAGCACTCAGGCACAGAGGTAGGATCACAAGTTTGAGGCCAACCTGTTCTATATAGTTTAGGTCAATGAGGGTTACCTGATTGAGACTCAAAAGGACTGTAAGAGAAAAATGCATGGACCCCGGAGAATGGGAAGGGACAGGATCTCCTGAGCTAATTGGGAGCATGAGGGTAGGGGAGAGGGAGCTGCCAGAATGAGAGGAGGGGCGAGGAGGAAATGGAGGAGCAGAAAGGTTGAGTCGGGGGAAGAATAGAGGAGACCAGGATGAGAGATACCATAACAGAGGTAGTCATTATAGGTCCGAGGAGAGATCTGGCACTAGGGAGATTTCCAGAGATCTACAAGGATGACACCAACTGATAATCTAGGCAATGGTGGAAAAGCTAACCTAAATGCCCTTCCCCTATAATGAGATGGATGACTACTTTATATGCCTTCCTAGAGCCCTCATCCAGTCGCTGATGGAAGCAGAGGCAGACACCCACAGATATACACTGAACTGAACTCTGGAACCCAGTTGCAGAAAGGGAGGAATGAAGAACAAAGGGGTCGGGACCAGGCTGGTGAATCCCATAGAAACAGCTGGCTTGAACAAGGGGGAGCACATCGACCCCAGACTGCTGTCTGGGAGGCCAGCACGAGACTGATCCAGACCCCTGAACATGGATGTCAACGAGGAGGCCTGGGTACTCTATGGGGCCCCTGGTAGTGGATCAGCATTTTTCCCTGGTGTGAGAAGGGACGTTGAGAGCCCATCCCACATGAAGGGATGCTCTCTCAGCCTGGACACATGGGGGAGGGCCTAGGCCCAGCCCAGGAGATGTGGTGGACTTTGGGGAGCCCTGTGGAGGGCCCTACCCTCCCTGGGGAAAAGAGGGGGGAGGGGGAGGATGCTAGTGGGGGCTTAGGGAGAGGGGAGGGAAAAAGGAATGACACGTGAAGCAAGCTTGTTCCTAATTTGAACAAAACAAACAAACAAAAAACACAGAACAAGCCATTGTGCTGGTAAAAACTATCCATCTACCAAAAAAAAAAAAAAAGAAAGAAAGAAAAAAATCTAAAACCATACATAAGAGATTGAGACCTGAGATACAAAAATTCTTAAGGATGCAAATATAAGGAGTAAGCTTCATTTATTGTAATAACTTGTTTTAACCCACTCACAAAGTGGACTTCAAGAAAAGTTAAAATTTGTATCAGTAGGTATTAAACTTTTAAAGCAAAAAGAAACAATGAGAAGAAATATATCTAATAAGGAATTAATATCCAAATTATATCAAGAACTGCTAGAATTCAACAATTTAAAAAAGACCTGATTTAAAAAAAAAATGGCAGTGGCAGCACACGGGAGGCAGAGGCAGGTAGATCTCTGAATTCGAAGCCAGCCTAGTCTACAGAGCAAGTTCTAGGACAGCCAGGTTACACAGAGAAACCCTGTCTCAAAAAAAATAGATTGACAGACAGATTGATTGATTTTTTTAAAAAAGGGAGTCTGTAAAGAATTTAAACAGAAATTTCTCCAAAGCTTTACAAATGGCTAAGTACCACATCACCAAGCACCAGTGATATGCAAATCAAAACCACAAGACCCCTATTAGGCTATTACCAAAACAGAAAGTGATAGCAGAATATGTGCACTCCTCATGACAATGAAACATAATATGGCTGTTGTCACAGTATAGCAATTTCTCAAAAAACAAACAAAACAGAATTACTACTTAATCCAGCACTTCATCCAATTTGTATTACCAAAGACCTGAAGACAAGGTGGAGGGAGGGAAGATGGATGTGGGTATGTTTGTCCCCAGGATGTAATATTAATATCCACACCACATTAAAGTATTTAGCAGACAGTACACTTTATTCACAAGAATAGTTACCTCTCCTTCAGACTTTACACCAACCACTTTTCCATTTTGCACAATGATTTCTTCAATTGGTTTATTCAACATGTAGGTACCTCCATATATAGCACTTAACCTAAAAATAAAAAATTATCAATATCAATTATAATTCATAACTACTTGAATTGTTAAAAATCTCCCTTCTTAAATCTAAATGAATTATAGAACCTAGTAATTAAAGGTACTGGGCCATAAACAAAAAAGACATGAAAGTGTGAGGGAGAAGTGTTGGGAAGAAAGGGTTTGAGAGGGGCATAAAAACAGCATAACAGGGGGGGTGAATAAAGAAAGAGGGTGGTGGAGTATAGGCAAAAATGAAATTATGTCAGTTATAAAAAAAAAAAAGGATAGATCCAGAAATCACATTAATCAAAATAAGAGACTTTAAAAAAATCATTTTTCCCTCAAATAAAGGACTTAGAGCTGAATAAATGTTTCTCTATATATTTACAACATAATGTAATATTAATAAATACATATATACATATCCATGTATGGCAAAGTAGAAGGGGGGGGTCTATGTGGAAGAGGACTGAAAGGGCAAGCAAAGAACAAAGAAAACTAATGGGAGACAAAAGAGTAAAATACCTCATTTTTTCTTTCATATGAAAAATAAAGATATTGCTATACATGCAGCATGCATGTGCTCACACATATAATGGTAGAAGTGTTGTTTAACATTCAGTAAAGCTCTCATAGCAATCCCAGTACTACACAGAAGAAAGAGGCGGAGAAAGGGATGGAATTTATGACAAAGGCACATCACCCAAAATGAGAAAGAGAAAAAAAAAAATTACAAAAGACAGATAGATGAACAGAGCCTCATCAACACAGGGAATGGTGTAATGCCAAAGACCTAATACACAAGAGATTGGTGCTCCAAGAGAGAAGGAAAATGTGCTCAAATAGCTGGATAAATAATAACCTAAAATTCTGCATTTGGTTCTTTTGAAAGTAATCTAAATATTCAAACAGCAAGACTGTCAGAAACTGAAGAAAATCTTGAAAGCTAGATCATTGACAGAGAAAAACTCAAAATACCAGAAGAAAGAACTCAGGGACAGCCACTTTGTCATTCAAGCCAAAACCAGTCATGGGGAAAGCTATTTCCAATGTGCTAAATGAAAACAGGCTACAACCAACAAAGTCTTTCAAAAAGAAGGTAAAATATTTTCAGATAAACAAAGGTGAGCCTGAGGATGTAGCACAATTGTTCAGGGCTTACCTATGTGCTACCACACCCAGTACCAAAATTCAACTTTATGTAATTCAGCATATTAACAGCATACACAGACAAGCTACACCACAACTCAATGACAACCCACTCACAACAAAAAACTGCATAAACTATGATGAGAATTTAATCTCACAAAACAATTAACAGAAAATACTTAATATTTCTTTCTAAGACTGGAACAAGACAAGAATGTTTGTTCTTGCCAATTTAACATTCTTCTAGTCCTAGCCAGAACAATAAAAGCAAGGGTGGAAGAGAACATAATGCATATATATTTTAAGGGAAAAAAAACCTAGTCTCTCTGTACTCACAGCCGGCATACTATGTACATGGAAAATTATGTTAAGTCCATCAGAATAACTGAACTAGTAAAACGAGCATAGCAAAGTTAATACAGAAAACTTAATTGGGCATTATATACATTAGCACTGAACAACTTCAAAATAAAGAATTAACAACGGTATCAAAATAAAATACTTCTAAATAAATCTGAACAAAGTTATCTGAAAAGCATACTAGAGACAAACCTAAACACAGGCGTGGATCAGAAGACTTAGTACAATGGGAATTTGTCACAAATTGATGTACAGACAATCCAGTTCCAATAAAAAACCTAGCCAGTTTTCCTAGAAACTGACAGCCTGAGTCTAAAAAGTAGCAAAGAACTTACAATAACCAAAATAAATTTTGAAGATATACGGTGGGAAGAGTTACATCACTTGACTTCTAAGACCTATCTACAAAATTATAAAAAGCAGGACAAATGTGGTAAAGCCATAGGAAAAAAACAAATTAAATCTGAACAAAAGCAGCCTCCAAACTAGACCTAAGCATTACTACAAGACCACTGGGAAATGAAACAGACACAGAGACACAGAGACACACTGTAAATGCAGATGGGACAAGTAAATACCACAGATTAGGGGGCAGAGGCTCAAACCATACCTCACTTAGGCATCAACATTCTTTCAAGGTAAATTATAGCAGTTACATAAAAAAGCAAAACTATAAGCTTCTCTGGCCCTTAGGCTAAGCAAAGATTTCATAGTACTCAAGATGCATTGTAAAATAAGTTTGATATACTGGACTTTATCAAAATACAAAACTTTTTTTAAAAAGATTTATTATGCATAAAATGTTCTGCCTGCATGTATGCCTGCAGGCCAGAAGGGGGCGCCAGATTTCATTACAGATGGTTGTGAGCTACCATGTAGTTGCTGGAAATTGAACTCAGGATCTCTGGAAGACCAGATAGTTGAGTGCTCTCATCTCTCCAGCCTCCCTCCCCTCCCCCTTTTTTTCTTTTTTTCTTTTGAGACAGAGTTTCTCTGTATAAATAGTCCTGGCTGTGTTGGAACTCATTTTGTAGAGCAGGCCAGCCTTGAATTCACTGAGATCCGACTGCCTCCCAGTTGCGGGGATTAAAGGTGTTCAAAACCACCTTTAAAAGATGGAATTATAATATTGTGGCATATCCTACCTACTTGGGCATTAAAACATAGGTTCAATCAAGGCCATCCTGGTCTACAGAGTGAGTTCCAGGACAGGATATCCAAAGCTACAGAAAAACCGCCCCCCAAAATAAATAAATAGATAGATAGATAGATAGATAGATAGATAGATAGATAGATAGATAGATAGATAGATAGATAAATAAACACACACACACATGTATGTATGTATGTATGTATGTATGTATGTTCAATCAAGGCCAGCCTGGTCTATAGAGCGAGTTCCAGCACAGCCAATGCTACACAGAGAAACCCTGTCTCGAAACACCAAAATAGTAATAATAAAGATAATGATTTTAATATAAAAAACATAAAACAAATAAATAGCATCTCACTATTCAGAGACACTTTTCACTTACAGTAGGCAGGATGAAGTCTAAGATCAGCAGGGTTACAGCTAACGGGTTAAACAGGCACTCACCTTGCAAATCCTTGTGGCAATTCTCCAAGGCCATAGAGGGGATAAAGGTATGGGCTTTTACCATATCTTGCCAAAGATTCGCTGTAAAGTTTAATTCTATTAATGGTATCACAACACGGCTGATCTAAGTAGCTGGGAAGAATTAAAACAACATTAGAAAAAGACTACTTCTTGTTTATTTTAAACTCTTTTTCTGAAGCGATTTCAAACTACTACCCTCTCATTTCTCTTAAAAGGCCCTAACACTAATATGCTACTAGAATCTCTTTCACCGGGCCACACAACAACCTACAAACCCTATGTCTACCATTTGGAAAATGAGAGAGAGATTCAGTTCAATGTTTTTAAAAAAACTGTAAATCTGAAAACCAAAAGTTTCTGATTGGAACCCTCTCTCTCTACTGTTGATACTCTCTTCAAATAAGCTGACTAGAAATTGAAGTGTTTGGAACTGTCTATGATATGGATTAGGGAACTGCAAAGTTGCCTAAATCCAACTTCAGTACAACAGACCTGTCACTGCTGGCAAACATCTCACAGCCTGTGCAGAGCCACCAATGGATTCATTAGTCTACTTACTCATCTGTTCTGTACAGTGCAAGAGAATGGCCAGTGAAGTCTACAACATCTTGGCCCAAATCAAACTTCTTATACAAATCTCTCATGGAGGTCTTCTTAGGGTCAATGCCCTCAAAAGTTCTAGGATCTTTTTCATCAAAGTTGGCGACATAAACTAGGAACTTCCTGAAGCGGCGTTTTTCAAACAGTCCCATTAAACCTGAAAAAATATTTTTTCAAAAAGCACATACTCACAATAGGACACTGACACTTTAAACATCAATTTCATGACTCAACAAATATAATTAATATAACAGGGGATCTAGATAACATGGTTCCCAGGGGCACAACACTTTAAAACACATCACCCATAAAGTCTTCAATTTTACCCCAAAACTTCAGGTACAGAGTACATATTTAGAGAAGCTGAAAGTTTGAAAACATTGTTCCAAAGGCATCTATACTGTTATTTTTCCTCTAACAATGCACATCTGTAACTCAGCCAGTTCCCAAAATTATGAATGCTGCTCCTTTCCCCTCTTTCGGCTGTAAGACACACTCTTAGACCTAATGGGAAAAGACACTGAAGACACCATGAAGAATTAACAGCAACTACCTTTAGAAGCTGACCGCCCTGTGGGTCACTTACTTTAATGAAACTTAAACAATCGGTGAGCTGCTCTACACACTTTTAAAAAAACAGCTATAAGCAGGGCTGGAGAGATGGCTCATCAGTTAGGAGAGCTTGCTGCTCTTGCAGAGGACCTGAGTTAGGGTCCCAGCACCCATATCAGGCAAATAATCACACACAATAAAAATAAAATATCTTTAAAAGAAACACACTGAGCTGGGTGGTGGTGGCACACACCTTTAATCCCGGCACCAGGGAGGTAGAGGCAGGTGGATTTCATTGAGTTTGAGGCAAGTCTGGTCTGCAAAGTGAGTTCCAGGACAGCCAGAGCTGTTACACAGAGAAACCCTGTCTTGAACACCAAAAAAAAAAAAAAAAAAAAAAAGGGGGGGGGGAATACATGGGACATTTAGTGTGGGGGGTGGGTGGGAGGGAGGGGGGGAGGGAGAGGGAGAGAGAGAGAGAGAGAGAGAGAGAGAGAGAGAGAGAGAGAGAGAGAATTAAATCCCAAGCTCTCTTGAGTCAGTACTCCTACTAATAGCATATAGCTGGTACTAAGAAAAAGCTAAGAAAACTTCTAGTTTCACATCCTTTCCCCTCCTCTCCTAAACAGAACAGAACATTAAGAAGGGCCTAAATGAGTGTCTGGCACTATAACTATCTGTTGACTAGACAAATAGGTTTCTGGGACTCCTTTTCACCATAAAAATCGTGTCATTCTGATAAATGAGAATTACTTACTAGATGCCAGTGCTTCTGCTTCAGTGGAAGGAACCTTGTAGATTTTCCCTCCCTTGTAGACAAAGCTCCCTTCAATCACTTTGAAATCCATATAGCGAGTGACCTCTGTGTAAAGTAACATCTTCACCAACTGACCTGAAAAAGTCATGTAATGCAAGCTGTCACTCAAACCTTACTACCAATAAAACTTAGCACCCAAAATTTTCCTAAAGAATTGTATAGCAATCCTTACCAAGAAGCCCCCAAAGCTGTGTTTTCAATGGTATGACTAGAAATTCACACCTTAAGCATACGTTTAAGCTTAATGTTACAACTTGTAGGCTAACAAAGGCCATGAAATATGTACTGGTGAGTGAATTGAGGCAACCTTGCAGTTCTGTATCAGTCACAGACAATTCCAAATATTTCAATTTCTAAGTCTACTTATATTTATTAAGAGTATATCAACATCAAATAGATTAAGGACTACAATTAGGAATCCCATCTGCCTATAAGACCAAGGAGGCTCACTTACCCAAATCAGCCAAAAGTTTTGTGAGACCAAAACCATTTTAAAGATGATTTGAAAGGATAACTACAACAGGGTAGTCACATCATTTTTGAAGTTAGGGCTGGGGGACATAACTTAGTGTAAAAACATTTATCTAGCATGTGTGAGACCCTGTATTCAAACTCCAGAACAACAACAAAAAAAATTAAGGAAATAAAGTATAAAGAGATTCTCATGCAGCAGAGATTAAAGTACACTGAAAAATTACATCAACTGGCCCCATTATTAAGCCTTGTGACCTTAAAAGACCAACGAATGTTTTATAAAGAAAAACACATGCAATAGAATTGTGCAGCAAAGTCCCTGTCTACAAAGGCTGCCCCTGTGTCTTCAGAGAGGTGATATCTATAAGGAGTTCATTGCAAGGAGAACACAACTTAATAGAAAATAAGTCAATTCACCAATAAACAGGAAAGCTGGTCAATAACTAAAACTCATTCCACCCTCTAATGGACAGATTTATGGTAAAAATTCAAATTTTACCTTACAATGGCAAATGGCAGAAACAAAAATGAATACTATCAAGGGCTGGTTGATAACGGTACTGGGAAAGGCAAAAGCCAAATGTGGTAATAAACAGAAAAAGCCTTCTGAAAAAGATCCATAATTCTTGCCGGGCGCACGCCTTTAATCCCAGCACTCGGGAGGCAGAGGCAGGCGGATCTCTGTGAGTCCGAGGCCAGCCTGATCTACAGAGCGAGTGCCAGGATAGGCTCCAAAGCTACACAGAGAAACTCTGTCTCAAAAAACAAAAACAAACAAACAAACAAAAATCCATAATTCTCTCCTAAGGGTACCCAATGCTATCTGTCATCAGTCACACACACTCCTTTCCTCCCTCTTACACCCCCTACACATACATTATACACTGGCTGAAAACTGCATGGGAACTGGGACTATGCATATGTGTATCTCAAACATCAAAATGTTAAGCACAATTAAATCTAAGGTTTTATCCCTAGCACTGCAAAGAAAAAAAAAAAATCCAGATAGTGGGATTCTGACTATGCAAATTTTGTTTCCTTCCTGCTTACTGTTAATGTTGCCTAGACTATACAAACTTGGATAATTTACAAGAATTCAATTATTTAAATTTAAAAGAACATTCAAACAATGTATCTATAATACAAACTATAAAATGTAACTCAAAAAAAGAAAAAGAATAACACATACTATATTTCATGGGAAATAAATTTGTAACAAAAAATTTAGTTTTTCCTTTGTTTTCTATTTTTCCAGACAGAGCCTCACACTGTGAGACATGGATGACTTAAAGTTTACTTGTAGCACAGGAAAGTCTCACATTATCAGCAATCTTCCTGCCTCAGCTTTCTGAGTACTGGGATTACAGGTGTAAACCACTGCACCTGGCTCATTTTTTAATACCATCTTAGAAAAAAATAGACACCACAGAAATTTTAAGATAGTTCAGTCCTCTAAAATCCTGAGAAATTAGGTGATCTCAACAGCTTACACACTAGAAAGCCTTTAAAAGACCATTTAAGACTCAGGCTCCCAAAGTCTCTCGAAGGTACTTACAATGTTATTATATTTAGAATTTTTGTTTGTACTACACCACACCAGATTTGCAACAAATGTTTCTAACTGTGTGAAATGTCTATAGTTTCTTACATACATATATAATATATACTACAAAATCTTCAATTTTAACATGCACTGTGTCACATCATGCTTTTGTTTCTTTTCAGAGCTATTTTCTATACCTCCTTCCCTCCATTCTTAATTAGACTCCAGACACTTTTAATGAAACATATTACTAAACATACTATTGACATCAACCAATTCCCCAGGGCCTCAGACCTGGGATAATGTTCTCTACTTCCAACCCAGATTCCATACAGTCATAAATAATGCTAGCATTCTTTACCATTGGCCATAAGGAACTTGGGAATTAAGTCAACATTCCAGTCTCTTCCTCTCCCCATTGATGCTGGTGGTTGTCCTGGTAACTTAAATCTTTTGTATAACTAAAAGTAGAAAAAAAAATACCTATAATGTAACGAGAGGCTGAGGTATAATACAACTATAAGAGGTAAAACACAAATCATTTTATTTTTAATCAGATAAAACTTTTATCTGTCAAGTAAACTTTTAGTCAGATAAGACTTTCAAGTCTCAATATATTATGTAATTAAATACAGTATGTAACTCGTGAATGCTAAGATACACAAGCATTGCAGAAGTCTTTCCCACTAATTGTTGAATCTCATTCCCCCTAATTTTGCTTCTCTAGCTACACAAGTTAAAAAAAAATTATATACTTCAAATCTAGAAAAGATAGTTAAAACTAGTTCTTTCTAGCTTTTAGTTTTTAGGCTTTACTGAAATACAACTGATGATTAAAAATTGCACACACAATGTAAACACTTTGATAAGTGTGAACATAAGTTTACACCAAAGAATACTAAGCACACATTCACCTCCAACGAGTGCCTCCCAGCATGATACAGTATGAAATAATCAACAATTTCTTTCAAACTAGTAGCCTGTACTTCTCCAAAGGGAAAGGGAGAAGGGGAAAGGTAGTGAGACTTGTAGATTAAGAGAACAGAGAAGAAACACATACAACGCTCAAATCTTTAGTTAATTAAAAACTGATTTTAAAAACCAAAGTGTACTGAAGACCTAAATATCACTCTCTGAGTTACTGGAAATCTGAATATAATTTAAATATCGTTCATTTTCATAAATGTAGTGGCATTATGATGGCATAGAAAATGCCATCCTTAACAGATGGAAGCCGAAGTATTTAGGTCAAGTGCCACAATGTCTTTTTTACTTTCCACTTTTCAAAGCCATAAAAAAGCAAGATCTAGTGGTACATACCTATAATCCAGCACCCTGGAAGCTGAAGATTTATTAAGTAGAATATTTAATAAGCCAAAACTGCCAGGCATGGTGTTTCATACCCTTAATCCCAGTGCTCAAAAGTGTAGGGAGCTCTGTGAGCTTGAAGCCAGCCTGGTGTATATAGTGAGCTCCAGGATAGCCAGGGCTAGGTAGAGAAAGAGAGGCCCTGTCTCATCCCCCCCACCCCCCAACTAGCAATAATAATGAGCCAAAATTTAGACCATCTCCAAAAACTAAAGTGGAGATTCACAAGTAATTCCTACACATAAAAGATGCACTGACCACAGAGACTTACATCTTCCAGTGGTGTTATAGATGCGCTTTCTCCTCCATAGTACGGGTTCTGATCCATGTGAAGAACCTTCTTTCCATTCACTGACATTATCCCTGACAGGATACACTCCTAAGGTTAAAAGAAGAAAAGCCACACACATAACATGCTAAAATGGTTCTTTATTAAAAAGTAAGCTCTCTGGGCATTGGTGGCACACACCTTTAATCCCAGCACTCTGGAGGCAGAGGCAGAGGCAGGGGGGTCTCTGTGAGTTTGAGGCCAGCCTGGTCTCCACAGCGAGTGCCAGGATAGGCTCCAAAGCTACACAGAGAAACCCTGTCTTGAAAAACCAAAAAAAAAAAAAAAGTAAACTCACTAGCAGTCTCATAGTAATTAAAACACTTGCTCACCATAACAAAACCAGCAGGCTTAAAGCCTCTCTTGGGTTCCTGTGAGTTCCCAGGTGAAAATTGGTTTCACAATAAGGGCTTGTACCAGTCACTGTTGTTTACTGGGCTGTCATTTATAGTAATGCCATATCACAGGTGGACAGACAAAGGCAGAGGCTTTCAACTACAGCCTGCCACTCTACTGTTTCCTACCAGGCATTCACTAAGGTCGTCCAAGAGGCACTGAGATTTAACTTAATAAAGGCACATCTGAAATACCCACCTTTTCATACACTGCTCGTGACAAAACTGAAGTGCCATACAGCACTTCCAGCTCAAGGAAAATCTTTAGTGCCACTTATTTACAGGCTGTATGTAGACACTTTGTTCTATGAGTCACCATTTTTATTTGAGAGAACTACGATTATTCAGCTTTGGTAAACATTTTTTTCAAAAATGAACATCTTAGAAGTTGATACACAGTGGGTATGGAAAAGGAGGAAGTCCTGAGACGGTAAGTGTATATTGTTGACATGGCCATGCTCCTATAAAATGGCAGACTTCCTCTCAGACAGAGGCAGGGAAATGGCAAAGCCTTCCCTCCTTGTCCAAGTGTAAATGTTTGGCAGTGTATACAGAAAAAATGTCTGCCATAGCTTTCAGCACCACCACCCACTGCTTCCCAACAGATCCTGCCAAGCTTTCCTAACCCTGTCTCCTTAGGCTGGCAATATAATGTAAATGCAGCATCGTTGTTTGTCTGAATGTAAAAAACAAGCCTCCCTGTTCAGCTGCATGCAATAAACCCATCTCTGTTCAACTCTATGTAATACACACCACCGAGCTTCCAGAAAGCTGAGGCTTTTTCAGCAGAAAGCCCAGTCCACCTCTGTCTGTGTGTTTGTCTTTTCTTCATTCCTTTGCCACCCAACTCAGATCCATCCCTTCATCCCTACAAGGATGCAGCAGTTGGGGGCTGGAGAGATAGTGCAAAGATTAAAAACACTAGCTGTTTTTCCAGAGGATCGGGGTTTGATCCCCAACACCCACAAGACAGTTCACAATCACCTGTCCTTTAGTTCCAAGGGATATGACAGCATTTTTCTAGCCTCCAATGGGTATTAGCAAGGACATGGTACACAAACATACATAGAAGCAAAAGACCATAAACATAATAATAATAATAATAACAATAATAATAAAGACAAACTGTCATTTGTTACCAATAAAGTACAATTTATGAATACCAAAATAATCTTGGAACACTCATCTACCATCATGGGGTCCAATACTTAACAGGACTTTTTAGAGTGTTACTAGAAACAGCTGATTCTTTCTCATTCTTTTATCTTAAGATTGTGTCTTGCTGTTATGTAGCATACCAGGCTGGCCAAGAACTAGTAAACTAGAGATCCTCTTACCTTCCCACCCAGGAGTGCTGGCATGTTCCAACACACCATACAAGACAGACTAGACTTTTCATATCATCAAATGAAATACCCAACACTCCGAAGATCTGTATTGTTCACAATAAGCTCAGAGTTCCTAAGTGACTGGAGAGAGAGAGAGAGAGACAGAGAGACAGAGAGAGAGAGACAGAGACAGAGACAGAGAGAGAGAGAGAGAGACTGTGTGTGTGTGTGTGTGTGTGTGTGTGCGCGCGCGCGCGCGCGTGCACTACACATGACTGTTTTAGGAGTGTACTGGAATATATCAAGCACCTATGTGTGTATGGAAATCAGAGATTATATTGGGTGTCTTCCTCAGTTGCTATCTACCTTAATTTTTTGAGAAAAGTCTTATAATGATTCGGCTGTACAGCCTGGAAGTAAGCCTCAGGATCCACCTGATTATAGCCCTCCCTATCACCCCCACATTCAGCTTTTTCCGTGGGTATTGGGAATTGAACTCGGTTCCCACGGAGTCATCTCTGCAATAGTTAAAGTATGAGGTCACCAATGTAAAATGCTCACTTAGCATGCATGATATACTGGGTTCAATCCCTACTATCATTAAAAAGGAGAGGGGAGAAGGAATTTTTTAAAATCCCAGAAGGGATAGAGAGATGGCTCAGCAGTTAAGAACAATTGATGCTCTCCCAGAAGTCTGGTTCCTAGCACCCATGTGGCACAACTGTCTCTAGCTCCAATTCTAAACAACACCCTCTTCCTACTTCATGATGAACTCCCATGGCATATACTCACATAGGCAGACACATAAATAAAAACTTTAAGGAAAAAAAAATCCCAAGACCAGACCTAAAGAGGGCATGTAAGATAATCCTCAATAAAAATTACAAATGATCACTCTCAGGTAAGTAAGGGAAAAAAGAAAAAAAATATCAAACCAAATTAAGCTGGATAAAGAAAAAATTCAAGAATGCAATAAGAAACAGATGAGATATACATTCATTCATACTCTTATACTAGGGTTATGGTCATGAATGCTTTACAATTAAGATAAAGGGAATTCCACAAACCTGTACCAATTGTTTGTGTTCATCAAGTTTGTCCATGAACATCACAATCAAATCCCCTTCATAGTTTAACATTTCCTTTTTTGTCCAACTCGAAGAAGTTTCAATATTACCTCTGTAGTTAATGTATTCACTTATTTTTAAATGATTTAAATTATTTGCCATAAGGTACAAACTAAAGAACGGACTGCATTTTTTTAGATCAAGAAACAAAACATGATGTTCTAGAATGCCTGTCAAGTCCCATTCCCGTCATGAGCACCCTTTTCCATCACTCTTAATCTAACAGTAAAGATTGGTTGGTTTGTCAACTTTGTAAACATTATTGTTTTTCTTGAAGGTCAACTTGATTGGATTAAGAATCACCTCTAGGAGCTAGAGATAATAGCTCAGTGGTTAGGAACACTGACTGCTCTTCCAAAGGACCTGGGGTTCAACTCCCAGCACCCACATGGCAGTTACAACTGTCTGTAACTCCAATTCTAGGGCATTCAACACCACCACACACACATACATGCAGAGAAAACACCAATGCACATTAAAAAAAAAAAATCACCAAAGGCAGGCAGTGGTGGCACATGCCTTTAATCCCAGCACTCAGGAGGCAGAGACAGGATCTCTTGTGGGTTTGAGGTCGGCCTGGTCTACAGAGAAAGTTCTAGGATGGCCAAGGCTACACAGAGAAACCTTGTCTCAAAAACAAAACAAGTATCACCTACAGTGCTGACAAAACACACCTGAAGGTGTGTCTGTAAGGGTGAATAATTATGGGGATAAGACCTGCCCTGCATGTGGCAGCTTCATCACATGGAAGGATGGTGCAGGCATATGAAATAAGAGGGAAAGAAAAAAGCCAACCAGTGCAAGTATTCTTTCTCTCTGCTTCCTGTCTGCCGACATGTGGGCTTCTCTGCTTCATTAGAGCCTGTGAAAGGATGGACCAAAATAAATTACCCCTTGTGTTGTCAGCTGTGTAAATCTAACGCAACTGTGTTTAAAAGACGGGCTGAGGAGACAACTTTGTTCATAATCCTTCCAAGCATGGGGATATGAATTAGAGTGCTAAACCCATCTGAAAAAAGTCAGGCATAGTGGCACACACTTGTAATCCCAGTGCTGGTGAATCAGAATCAGGCAGTTCCTGATTGGGCCTCAGCAGTTACCCAGACTAATATACTCAGTGAGTTCCTCTATCTCAAAACAGGTGGATAGTGCTTAAGGATCGACAGTGTGCATACATGCCCCCAAAATAAGATTTGTTCATGTTCTCTGTTGTTCTGTCTCTTGACATAGTGTCTCACTGTGTATCCCTAGCTGGCCTGAACTCAGTATGCAGATCGGTTGCCCTGGAACTCAGAGCTCCACCTCCACCTGCTTCCCAAGTACTCATGTCAAAGGTGTACACTGCTTGTGTGTGGTCTTATAAGGCATCACTTATCTATTCTCCTCGATACAGAGCAGGGGCTCCTAAGGTACATGGCCAAATCTAGCTTACAGACTCATTTTATAAACCATTTTACAGGTATATCACAATGCTTGTTTGTATATAGACTGCCTGTGGCTATTGTCTCAGTAACAGAGCAACTGTGACGGAGCCCACTTGACCTGCAAAACCTACAATATTACTTCCTACCTGAAAGCCTACCTAATCCTGCAAATGGAGGATCTCAAGGTGTGTTTCCTGGTTCCCCATCATCTGCCACCTTGCTGGGAAATGTACATTCTAAAAAAGCTCTGGGAACTCAAGTTGATATCACAGCTCCCAAAGTTTTGATAAAACAAAACAACTGAGTCCTATCTTTTAGGTTGTTTGGGAAGGGAGGGTGATGAAAATCTGCATTTCTAACAAGTTCCTAGATGACTGTGATGAAGCTGGTCCAGAACTGATTTCTGAAGAACAGTTACTCAAGTAGCATTTCTCAAGTGACAGTCACCTGGGACTCATGTGAAAAATACAGATTCATATATCTGCCTGAGGGACTAAGTGTCTAATGTTTCTAGTAAGATCTTGGGTGCTATGGAAGCAGCTAGTCTAGAGATGTGCTTCCAATAACAAAACAACAGAGGGCTCCACTGAATTAATACACCATGGGAATATGTCAAATTTTATATATCCATTTTCCTCTTGGTGGACCGAAGACTTCCAGTTGTTGACTTTCACATGGGTCTTTTGGCACACCATTTGTTACAGCTGCACCCATGGACATCATCTATGCTTAACTGCCTTCCATTATAATTGCAAACTCACTTGCTTCAACAGTATA